TGGAGCTGGGCTGCCGTGAGTCGCCGGCGACGGCGTAGGCAGCAGCCCCTTTAAAAAAAAAAGAATATTTGGAGCTTAGATGGGATGTGTTGCCACACCCATCATACTCGCCTGATCTTGCGCCGTCAGACTTCCACTTGTTTTGCTCTCTTCAAAACTCCTTGCGTGGTATAACATTCAATTCAGATGAGGTTGTAAATCAGCACCTTGTTCAGTTTTTCACAAATATAGACAGGTCCTTCTATGAACGAGGAATTATGAAACTCACTGAAAGATGGCAAAAGGTTATTGAACAAAACGGGCAATATATCAGTGATTGATCTTTGTTCTTTATATAAATAAATGACCTTTGAAAAACATAGGCAAAATGCATCATGACTGTTCTGATGACCAATAAGTTTTACAACTGTTGACTTTACTACACAGGAAAAATGAAGAATGAAAGACAGAGAGACACATGCACAGATAAAGACAGAGAGTCCAGTCATCAGTGGCATCATCTTTGTGCTTAACAAAGCTTGTGGAATATTAAACTTTAGGGCGTGATCTAGTTCAACTCTCTCATTTTACAGATGATATATCTAAGCCTCAATATTTTCTCAAATCATACAGCTATTTATCAGCAGTTCCAGGGATTCAATTCTGGTCTTCTGAAGACTAGCCACTATGCCCAGCTAAATTAAAACTTATATTACAATTTCCTCTTTCTCTGCCCATCCAAGATTTGGAAGACTTGAAGCTCCAAGTAATAAAAACAAAACAAAAACAAAAACAAATAAAACAAAAGGTGATATTCCCTCTCTCTCTCTCTCTCTCCCTCTCTCTCTCTCTCTCCCTCTCTCTCTCTCTCTCTCTCTCTCTCCCTCCCTTCCTCCTTCCTTCCTTCCCTCTTTCCCTCCCTCCCTATTCTTGTTGTCGACTTAGTCCTATGGTTTTTACTTGGCTGATTCCAATTCCAATGATTGGAGTAGTTTCCTGGTGTTAGTGCTAGGATGTTAGGACAACAGCTTCAGTGTCAAGTACTTAGCTTCCTGTCAAAATTAGTCATCTGCAAAAGATAAAACACAATGCATAGCTTCCCAGAGTTCCATTTAATTCACAGGTTGACAATTTTCAAACTTAAGAAACTCTAGTTTTAGAGTGAGGAAAGGATAGTTGTTGTTGTTGGTGGTGGTAATGGGGTGGTGATGGTGGTGATGGTGGTGGTGGTGGTGGTGTGTGTGTGTGTGTGTGTGTGTGTGTGTGTGTGTGTGTTTGTGTGGACTGTGTTTGACTTTTTCTCTTCCTCTCTCTCCCTTAGTGTTTTATTTCACTCTCCAAATTGCAATGGCATTCGGGATGCTCAATCCATTCTTCACGCACTGCTGCCAGAGGGAGTTTTCTAAACTGCAGATCTGATCATGCTAAAGCTGTGCCAAAATTCATTGAAGGGCTTCCCATTGCTCTTAGGATAAAGCTCAGATTCTTTTTCATGGCTTATGAGCCCTGCATGGTCTGGGCCTTGCAGACCTTTCATGCTTACTCACTCCCCTTCCATGTCTATGCTTCATCAATGCTGAACTCCTTTCAGCTGTTTATTTATACAAGGCGTTCTCTTACTTCCAGACCTTCACACATGCTGTGCCTATTGCCAGGGACACTCTTCCCTCCCCACTCTGTTGTACACTCACCAGAGTCTGGCTAAATCCTCCTCCTTCTTTAAGGCTCAACATAAATACCACTGATTCAAGAGGCTTTCCATGACCCGTTATGCTAGGTGAAGTTCTTTTTTTTATGATCCTGTAGGGATTTGAACTTTATTGTAATACCATACGTTGTTGCTATTACATGTTTAATTAGATGTTTTCTCTCCATATTTAAACTATAAGCTCTGTGAGGCTAGAAACAGGGTTTCTTCCCTCAGTGCCTTTTACTACCTGACAGGATAAATGTTTGTTGCATCAATGAATGGATTAAATACAATGAAATAAAGAAACTTGCTGTTCCCTCCCTTAGATGACAAGACTAATAGAATCTTATAATTAGAAAGCTCTTGGTGCTCATGTGGCTCAACTTCCATTTTACAGATGAGGAAACTGAGGTTCAGAAAGGTGAGCTAATTCATGACCAAGCTGAGGTTTTTGAACCCAGGTCTCTTGACTTCCAGCTCTGTGCTCTTTTGTACTGCACCACACTGGCTCTTTAAGGGTGATTTTATCACCATAGCAAGGCTCCGAGTTAGTACTGCCTCCAGCAGATACAAAACAAGCTAAGGTAATTTTTCTAGTTTGCCTGAGAGTTCAAGTCTAATGGTAGATAGTGGCTCTTACTTGGCTCTGGAGTGGGAATGGGGAAATGGGGTGGGCTGTAAGTGTCTTCATTACTGTCTACTCTCAATTATATAAGTATAGTGCAGATAAAGCCTCATTTTAGCCATTAACAACATACATGTAAGTGCTCTCTGAAAATACTATTTGGTAATGATTGTATTTAATAACCCAGCTTTTTACCAGAGAGTTTTGTCCTCTTTTCCCTTCTTGTGCTTTTAAATGTGCAGGGAGAAAGGATGCCAGTCAGAAGCAGCCACATCCCATTTTCCCTGCTCCCAACTATGCCTCCTACCCTCTCTCCAAAACGATATGCCTGAGATCCCATGGTCAGAAATGTGTTCCTTTGACTTAAGTATCATTCAATCTTTTCAGTTTTATGTGTAAATATCAGTCTACCTAGACAAGGAGACATAAGAGCAAAATCACTGTAGGGAGTGTATCAGATACTTTCATGCAGGTGGGGGTGGGGTGGGAAGACAAAGGCTGAGGCTACTTGGAGGTCAAATAGAGAAGATGAGTATATAATGGAGGGTAAGGCTAGAATTCCCTGTTTTACCATTTTGATCAGGATTGGCTTAAAATAGGAATTTTCAAGGTGAATTTCTCTTTCCTGGGTTTCACTAACAAACCAAAATAACCTCAAACCTTTCACTCTCCTTCCTGCTTCATAGGAACTTCTCCCCTGGACTCCCTTCCCGGTACCCCAAATTTAACAAGATGAAAAGTAAGCCAGTACTTTCTCCCTGCCACCTCTACCCTCAGCAGACACACTTCTCTAGCCTTCCTATCTGGCGATCAACTACTTGTTGTTTACTGCAAGTTTCTCCCCTTCTCAGAGCACATTGAGCTACCCCCAGTCCTGTCACTTCCTTTTCCATTGTCGTCTTCTGATATATCTGGTTCCCATCCTGCTGCTGCCACCCCCACCCCTATTCAGGGCCCTTTCCCCTTGCCTCCAGCTCTTACTGTAATAACTTCCTAGCTGGTCTCCCTGACTCCAGCCTCTCTCATTCTTCAATCCAGTTTGTGCAGTTTGCCAGATTAATCTTCCTGAACACAGTTTTCATCAAATCCCTCTCCAACTCCTGCACCCCTACTGTCTTTTGTATTCAGTCCAAATGCCTTCATTTGGCTCTCAGGGCCTCTCACCTTCTGCCCTCATTCTTCAAGCCACCGTCCCTCCCCCACCTCATCAATCCCATTTCTCATTTCTCATTATTTCTTAACAGAGCCATTCTCTTCAGCCAAGCTAATCTGCTTACCACCACCCCTATCCACAATTTGCTCCTTTCTATCTCTTGTTCTTTTGCACATACTGTTCTTTCTAAGGAGAAAGCCTTTACTCTCTCAGCTCTAGGAAATTGCATCCTCACGAGTCTTAACAAGCTCCTTTAAGATTTAACTTTTCCAGGAAGACTTCCTGGATTAAGTTGATCAGCTCAGTTTTTTTATTTGTTTGAATCTTACGGAACTGTCACTATTTAACCATTTTTGACCAGTAGAAATGGCAATTTCATATGGTTCAATGTAAAACACTCCCTCCAACTTTTGACTATTCTATTATTTATAGTGTTAATGTGTGTTTCTTTACATATCACTTAAAGAGCCCTCCAAAATATTTCTGGGTCTCTGACTGTCATAACTCTCTGGAAGCAGAATTAATATATTTTTACCCTGATGGGGCCTGAAACGCAACTGAGCAAACAGTGAGTCCTTAGCTTTGGCTTTTAATAGATACATTTTCCTGCACTATATTTGGGCCTCATCACTATCTTGTATTTGCAATTAGGGATACATATGTCTGTCTTATCCACTAGTCTGTGAACTCTGCAAAGGCAAGGGCAAGATCCAATTCATCTCTGGAACCATCCCATGCACTAGCACAGTGCCTGGTACATAGCAGACCCTTAATAACTATTTGAAGAACTGACTTGAAGGAATTGCTGCATCTTTTTGCTCTGTAAGGAACAGAGGAGGCCTGGGAATCCTCTTATCCTTTTAGAGAAGACCCCAAGAAAGCAACTTGTGAATCCCTGAGCTCCAGCAAAATCAAATTACCAGACACATATAGATCTCAGCAAACAACAAATCCATGGCAACCAGTCTGGCAGTGCATTTGCCTTTCCCTGGAAGCCTGCCAACTGCTACTTGCAGGCTCAAGAGAGCAAGAAAGCAAACACCAGATAGTTTTTCTACTTTGAGCTTCTATGCCCTTCCCTATACCTCTGCAGTTTCTACCTGCATGGTCCTGGTGTGGGGAGAGTAGTGTGCTTTCTTGGTATGTAATTCCTTAGGTTCATAGATTCAGGCCCTTGGTAGGCACTAGCATGCAAGTCTGTCTAATAAAAATTGTCTAATAAGAATACAAAGCAGTCCATGAAACAGCACCCTTGGAGCCCTTGAGGGCATTGCAAATACTGCCAGTTAATCCTCCCTGCGTTCAATACACAATGCTTTCTTTTCAGATTTTGCTGTGCACGGCCCCTTAACTATTGAGAGCCCCAAGGGGCAGCAGGTTAAGTTCTTTTGCAGGAGATGTCTATAGCTTTGCCATCATCAAGCAAGAAGTGATGGACCGGGGAACCCCATTCTGCATGATGGATCTGGCTGCTGAAGTAAGCGGGAGATGAGAAAATGGCACAAGGGGTCACCATTACCCAGAGTATTAGGCCAACCCAGACTTGTGTTGTGATTTGCCAGAAGAGTGAACACAATTATGTTATCCATTTGCACTAACTGCCTGCTAGTCTGCAAGCAGCCTGTGTTATGTGCAGGTGGGACCTGGAAACAGATAGCTTTAGGCATTTGTAAGAAATCCCCCCACCCAAGAAGCTGGTCCTTTTCCAAACTGTGACATTAGCCAGAGACCTACAGGACCTTTTACTTTAGCAGCTCCCTCTACTCCTCTGAGACACTTCCTGCCAGGTATTTCAGTGTCCCTCATGATGCTTCTGGATGGCAAAGTCCTCCTATACTTTCCCTGTGATATGTCGCAGGCTTTCATCCTCATCTCCCATCAAAATGTTTTGCTAATAGCCAAATGAATGGAAAAAACAATAGGCAAGGCCAGCCGAGTGGCTCAGTTGGTTAAGAGCTGGCTTAAGAGCGCGAGCTCTGAGCAACAGGGCTGTCGGATCTATTCCCACATGGGCCAGTGATGCTGCACCTGAGCTGAGCTGTCACTGAGCTGCCAACAGGTGGCAGGATGGCTCAGCTGGTGTAACAACAAGATTGCTTGTTTGATGGTGGGCTATGCCCACCTGCAACTAAGACTGAACTCAGCACCTTGAGTTGAGCTGCCACCCGGATGGCTCAGTGGATAGAGCATGCGCTCTTAACAACAAAGCTGCTGGTTCAACTCCTACGTGGGATGGCACTTACGCCCACCCACAACTAAGATTGAACACAGCACCTTGAGCTTAGAGGCCACGAGCTGCTGACAGGAAGCCAGATGGCAACTGGCGCCCTTCACAACGAAGATTGAAGAACAACTTGGCTGGTCCCCTTCCCCAATTCCCCAACACTGTTCCCCTCCCCCAATTTCCCAATAAAATCTTAAAAACAAAAAAACAAACAAAAAAACAACCAATAGGCAAAAGTTTGAGGGGAAGCAGGATATTTGCACATTCTAAAAGCATGAACCCACTAGATACTTACTAATTACAAGTGGAAAAATACTAAGTTTATGCTATACTCCACGTAGACGAAGGAAGATAGTCCATGGAATTGTAACAGCTATATAAGATGTCAGAGGGGTAGTAGCTTGGGGGAGAGAGTTATTACTTTGTGAAGGGTGTAAATGTCTTAACTATTACATTGCTTTGTATATCTGAAACTAATAAAAAAATACCAAGTTTACTAGTGAAAGATCCTTCAGATACCACCTTAACCATGGGATCAAGGCACATCCATACCATGTACCCTGATATGATGCACTGAGAGGGCACAACATGTCTGGTATTTTCGTCAAAATTGCATAACCTTGGGCTGGCCGAGTGGCTCAATTGGTTAAGAGCACGAGTTCTGAGCAACAGGGTCACCAGTTCGATTCCCACATGGGCCAGTGATGCTGCTCCCGAGCTGACCTGCCGCTGAGCTGCCAACAGGTGGCAGGATGGCTTCATTGGTGAGAGCACGTGCTCCTAACAACAAGGTTGCCGGTTCGACTCCCTCATGGGATGGTGCACTATGCCCACCCTCAACTAAGTTTGAACACGGCACCTTGAGTTGAGCTGCCGCAAGCTGCCAACAGGTGGCCAGATGGTGACTGGACTTGGAGCTGAGCTAGCTGCGCCCTCCACAACCAAGGCTGAAGGAGAACAACTTGGCTGTTCCCCTTCCCCAATTCCCTAACTGTTCCCCTTCCCCAATTAAAAGAAAAGTGAATAACCTCAACAGCAGACACACGCCAACTGAGAGGCATGCTACAGAATACCTGGCCAATAGTTATCAAAAGTATCAAAGTCATGAAAGACAGGAAGAGAATGAGGAGCCATCAAAAATTGGAGGGTTGGGGCCGGCCGAGTGGCGCGATGGTTAAGAACTGGTTTGGAATGCCAGAGGGCCCCAGTTCGGATCCCACATGAGGGCCAGTGACACTGCCCTCCACAGCTAAGATGCTGAACAACAGCTCAACCTGGAGCTGGACTGCCTGTGAGTCACCGGTGACGGCGTAGGCTGCAGCCCCTGTGGCAGTGGGTTGCCATGGGCTACCGTGTGTAGCCAGCAGCCAGCGTGAGCGGCCAGCAGTCGCAGTAAGCGGCCATCCAGAAGCCAGCGACTGATCTGCGTCACCCGGGAAGAGCGCAATGATGGTGCCAACTTGGGCCAGTGAAGCAACGTCCTCCACAACTAGACTGAAGAACAAAAGGACAGCAACTTCTCTGTTCCCCTTCCCCCAATTCTCCAGCACTACTGTTCCCACCCCCCAAATTCCCCAATAAAAATCTTTAAAAAAAAAGAGTGGTATTCGAAACCATTTGTGAAATGAATAAATGAAGGAAAGTCCTTTAAAAAAAATTGGAGGGTTGAAGGAGACTGAGACACAACAGTTAGATCCAACATGGAATAGTGAATTGGATTGTGGCACAGAAAAGAAATATTAAATGGGAAATGGATGACAATACAATAAAGACTCTAGATTTGTAACACTATTGTAACAATATTAATTTACTTGTATGATGGTGATATACTTGTAAATTGCTAACATTAGGGGAAGCTGAGTGAAGGGTATACAGGCAACTGTACTTTTTTTACAACTTTTCTGGAAGTCTAAGTTTATTTCAAAACAAGTGATTTAAAAAATGCAAACAAAACCAAAACCCCGAAATACTTAGCTACCCTTTGCCCCACTCAGAGTACAGTATCATTCCTCCACTCAAGGCCCCCCAACTGTTTCCCATCACTTGTTAAGTGAAGCACACATTTCTCACATGACATGTGAGGCTCTTTACAGACTGTCCCCTAACAACCTCTCTAGGCTTATCTTCTGTCACTCCCCACCTCCAGCTAAACCACATGACTGGCAGTGCGCTGAAAGCACCCTGGTCTCTCCTTCCTCTGTGTCTTCACACATTCTCTTCACAGTAACTGGAATGGCCTCACCTTTTTCTCACCTTGCCTCCTTCACCCTTTGTCACCTCCTCTGGGAAGCCTTCTCTGACCTTTTCAGTGTGAGTGAGGCACCCCCTCTGTGCTCATGTGTGTGTATGTCTGCTAGAGCACTTATATTGTTGGTCATTGTTTATCTCTTCAACTGGACTGTGAGCTCCTCAAGGGCGTGAATCATGCTGGACCCACACAGAGAGCTGACCCATTCAAGTCAATGGTGCTCTGAGAAAGGGACAAGGACTCTCTCTACTAGAGAGTGGTTGGGGTGGTCACACCCCAAGGGGTTGATTCACATGACATATATTGTATTGAGAGCAGGGTGCTGTGATGGAGAAGCCATTATTGGTATAGGCCAACCTGGGTTAAATGAGCAGAAGGTGTGGTGTCACAAGGAGCTGAGAAGCCAGAGGCAACAGCTGGAATTCTTTCATAAGGATAAGGGGGCACTCATGGTATGAAGCAGCACTGTTGGAGTGTTGCAGCCAATAGGAAGGGCACACTGCTGGGGCAAGCAAGGTTTGGATCATGATGAGAACGTTAGAGTTGGGGTTGTGGAGAGGGGACTAGGGATAGACAATAAACTGAAGAGACAGTCAGGGCTTGGATTTGATCCTGTGCATTATAAGTCATGAATTGGTTTTAAATGAGAAAGTGACATGGCCAAAGTCATATTTTAGGGATGGTTTGGAAAAGGCTAGGCAGGAAGCAGAGAGACCAGTTTGAAGCCTAGCACGGGTTGCTGGGTCCACTGAAGGCTAACCATTTTGTCCTACTTCCAGGGAGTTTTCTGTCTTTGTAAGACAGGCAGTCTGACTGACCTAGACCGCTGGTGACTAATGGTTGTTGGTCTGAAATGGGAGTTTCAAACTCCCAGCTGAGGTCTGAGGCATTAGGAACAAGGACAGTGTAGTAGAGTGAGACCTCCTGGGTCAAATTTGAATTCTGTCACTTACTAGCATGTGACTTTAAGTAAATTACTTACTCTCTCTCCCTGCCTCAGTTTCCCTTCTGAGAAATGAAGAGTTCCTCCCTCATTTGTGTGGAATGTGAATCAAGTGAAACAATGCATGCAAAGTCCTCACTCAGCCCATAGTCTGATAAATGTTCCACTAAAAGTGGAGTTTAAAGACCAGCAGCCAGGAGGATCCCAGTGAGGCCCTGAACAATTTACTGGAGTTCTTAATTTCCTTTCCTTAGGGACCAGGCGGGGCACTAGTCTGGATCTGAGCTGGGCTTGGGCCTTGGTGGTGGGGGGTGTAATTGTGTCTACTGTGGGGATCGGAAGGCTTATATGAGTTAGGGATGAGTGAAGGGAGCCAGGTCCCTGGAGTGTTATAACCGACACCAGATAGGCCGCATATAAAACCTAGCAGAAGCAGGATGAAGTTGTGCCTAAATGACACCAATAGCTCAATTGATGAATGTTCATCCCCTTTTCAACTGACTGATGCAAACTTTGCTCAGATACAACTTATATTCGTTCCACCCAAGGAGAAGGCAAAGAGATGGGCTTTCTGTGATTTCTCCTGACCTGAAATTTCTTGGCTACAATTCAATTATCTTTGCTACATCTTGATGCTTTGCCCACGATTTGTAGACCTTTCTCTTCTTGCTTCTGGACAGAAATCATAGACTTAAGAAGTCTCCTCCTGTGTTCAGACCGGTGGTCCCTCCTGAGCATGCCCCTCCAGAATGTCTCCAGCTTATGAAGCAGTGCTGGGCTGAGGGTACAGAACAGCGGCCACGTTTTGATGAACTATTTAACCAGGTAAGGACTGTGTGAACCTTAGACTGCACCCTACCCTAAACTAACTCCTTGGGTTCTTGTCATATCGTGGTAGGAAGCTCTTGCAAGAGAAAAAGACATTCCTTTTGGGGAAGGAGCATGGAAGTGGCTACCTAGAGGCCTTTGGGGTTGGAGCATCGCAGCACGTCCTCTGAGAACACAGGGGTTGGTGTTGGTGCTCTTCTGTATCTGAACCTCTGTTCTAGACCATCAGCAACCTGACCTACCCAAGCTTTGAAAGATGAACTTGAACCACCAGGCATTTGCAAGGTAATAGCATTGAGATGGTCACAAGATGGGTATCATTGAATAGATGGGGATCCTCATACAGCTATGTTTGCTTTACAGACCCCACAGAACTCTGGCCAGTATACAATTTAAGTAATGTCAGGTTGTTTGGGGAGGGTCAGGAAAAATATGGAGTGCTTGAAAGGGTGTGTAAAAGATGAAAGAAAGTGTAAACGTGGAGTACAAAAGCAGGGCATTCCTTAGGTTCCTAGGGAACGACTTGAAGCATTAGAGTGCATGAAAAGTGATGAACTCTCTCCTTAAGATACTGAATTTCTAAATAAGCTACTTCTTTCCTTAGAGTTGGGGAAATGAGGAAAGGACAGAGAGTTTTGCTAAGGGAGCTAGGGTGTGGTTCCTATGTTGGAGCAGGCAGTTTAGGGCTTTGTTGAAACTACAGGATACTGAAACTGAGGGTGCTCTCTGTGAGTGCTGTGTCAGCTCTGGTGAAGAGGCTTTCGAGCCTGGCTGGAGTACAGCACTGAAATGCTTTGTGAGTGGCAGGTATCTGAGGCGGAAAAAAGAAAGAGTTGGATTGAAAGCCTGAGGGGCCCTGCATATGAAGTCATCCATGTCCCCAGCTAACAATGCCTCCATTAGCCTGGCTGGGTTTCTTGAGGACACTCAAACAGGTGTTCAATAGTATGGAAAAGGCAAAGGACCATAAAGGTCAAATTTCTAAAAACTCACCATGAGGCAGGAGAAAAAGCCATTTGCCCTCGTATTGATGCTAGAGATGTTATTTCAGAAGGCAGCAGAGAAGCCGGTGACAGAAAGAGTGAACGTCATACGACCTTCAAACAAGACATTGCTGGGGCTGCCCTCACTGAAATGCTTCAGTGGAAGTTTAGACTGTCTAAAAGACAGGGGTAGGGTAGCCTCCCAACTCCCTGTAGCTAATAAAACTTAAATGGGAAGAGGAGAGTGAGGCTCCCTGGGTTAGGCAATAGGGGGAGTCCAAAGCATCTGATCTGCCTACTGAGATTAGCTGCAGGACCTTGGTGGACATGTAGACGTGGACCAGGCTCAGAAGAAAACTCCTAGTATAGGCCTTGTAGCATTGACTGCTAAGTGGAGCATGTGTTGCCCAGCCTTGTAGGAGGGTTCATTGGGACAGATTCCTAGGTGTCTGCTCAGCAAAACCACCACCAGACTTTTTGTTGTGAACATAGCCTTGTGCATGCTGAATACAGTAGCAAGGAGGGGCTACTCCCCCTTATGATTCCAATGCTGTGCCAAACTCCCCATCTCTGTAGATGAACAGGGCCCCAAGAGGATATATAAAAAATCTGTGGCATGCTTCTATTTCTAAAGGATGGGGCAAGACCAGTTGAATTTTCACATGACCCCAACTGACATGAAGGGCAGTTCCTAGGGACACCATTATTCCTGGACTCCATGGTAAGAAATAGGGGTAAATCTGTAGATCTTGGGTCATATTTAAGAGGTTAAGAAACTTTCCACTGCCCAAGAACTAGCAATGCAGTAGCATTAGAAGATAAGGATGATTTAGTAACTCGATGATCTAGAAGGGTAAAGTAGCATTCCTTGCCCCTTTTTACCCCTTATCCCACTCACAACTGGCCTGGGTTGAAGACCAAATCCTGTTGCCTTTGAAGTGGCTACTATTCATGTGCTAGCATCTCAGAACTGAAAGATCCTGCCCAGAGCACCCTTTGCTGAGACTTGAAAGAAACATAAGGGTAGGGGAAGAACTACTCAAAGAAAAAGAGCCCTGTGAATGGGCCAGGGTGAAAATAAGGGCAGGTGGTGAATTTTGCTATTTTTACCTGGGTTCACCTCCTACTCTGGCATTTTAGAGGAAGAGATTTTTGTGATAAGGGGTCCTACTCCATCATCTCTGAGTTTGGGGAGTAAGAATTCCCTGGGTCCTCTTTCTGTTTTATGTCCAGTTTAAAACTTTCAATAAAGGGAAGAAGACCAATATCATTGACTCTATGCTTTGGATGTTGGAGCAATATTCTAGCAACTTGGAAGATTTGATCTGGGCATGAACTGAAGAGCTGGAAATTGAAAATCAGAAATTGGAAAAGCTTCTAACACAGATGCTACCACTGTATGTGTGAACACCTGAGGAGTGTGAATCTTTGTAACAGTGTGTTCTATTAAAAATAGAAGAAATTTACCCATCAACTAACTGCTCCCTCCCCTCTCTACTGCACTCTCTCTACTCCTAGGAGATTTGAGTTACACCTTCAAATCAAAGAAGAATCGGAAATCAAGAGAGCAGAGCACACTTTCTAATTTTCCACTACCTGTGGATCATGATGGTCATTTAAGTGGTTGGTGCCTCAGTTTTCCTATGTGGCATTTCATGACTTTGCTTGGAAGTTGACCGAGTAAAAGGAGGCAATTCCTTGAGCTCCTAGAGCAGCGGTTCTCAACCTTCCTAATGCCACGACCCCTTAATACAGTTCCTCATGTTGTGGTGACCCCCAACCATAAAATTATTTTCGTTGCTACTCTATAACTGTAATTTTGCTACTGTTATGAATCATAATGTAAGTATCTTTTTGTTTTCCATGGTCTTAGGCGACCCCTGTGAAAGGGTCGTTTGACCCCCAAAGGGGTCGCGACACACAGGTTGAGAACCGCTGTCCTAGAGGAAATTAGCAGGGGTTGTTTTTCTAGGTTTTTCCTCCCTTAGTTGAAAGCCTTATCTGTTACTACAATTTCCAAATTTTCCAAGATACCTTATGCTTGTAACATGATCTTCTAGGAAATAACTGGGGAAACTAGTCTGTTGCAAAGGCAACCACCAGGTAACAGTCCCCAAGGGCATGGTGGGGTAGGAGCTGAGGAAGAAGGATAGAGAGCTGAAAAGACTCCACAAAGGAACAAACAGGGCTGCCTGTTCAGTGCTGTATTCCAGCACCTTGCACAGTGCTTCATACATTGTAAGCACTCAATATATATTTATAGAATAAATGAAATAATGTTTTCATCCAGGTGACATTTTCTTCTCCATCATTTACTTGGCAGTGATTTTTGGAGAAACTGTATTCTAGCAGATGTGTGTGTGTGGCATGGAGGAGGCCTGTATCCTTTGAGGAATAGCTGTGTCTGCTTTTTCAGATCAGTTGATGAATCTCTCAAATAGGGCTGCATGGTCGAACCTGAGGGTTTTGACTTGGTCATCTTCTATTTCAGTGATTTTGGGCTTCACCACCATCTCAGCCATGAGTGAGCCCATTGAGGTGGTTGATCTTATCAATGACCTATACACACTCTTTGATGCTATCATTGGCAGTCACGATTTCTACAAGGTAAGTTACTTAGCAGAGAAATATATTCAAGAGAGAAATTTGTATATGAGGCTCATCTGTGTGTACTTCAAAATTGAAGGATGCAACTTTATTGAATGTTGTTATTTAGAAATTAAAATTTAAATAATAAATTTTAAAATTTCCATTGGTGTCCCATTGGAAATGAAAGCCAGATAGAATGCATATAATTTCACACTTTACAAAGTAACAGTCTCAACACAGCAACAGGTCAGATTTCTTTTGAGCTGTTTTCTAGAACTGGGACTAAGAAGTGGTTGGGTCCAAAAGTGTTATTGTACTTCAGTGCCTTACTACCCACAGTGTAGGCAGTGTCATGGTAGGCACTGAAGGGGCTACAGATGAAGTGTTGGTGTTTTGTCCATAGTTGGTAACTGAAACAGTGCTCATCTTGGTAAAGTTTGTGTAGATCTAATACATGGTGTTAAAATTTGATTTCCTTCTTAGGTACCATTGTTTTACAGGAGGGAACTCTAGCCTTACACATGTCAAAGACCTATTAGACCTGAAGCTCTTTGGGATTACTACAGGGTAACAAAAAGCATGCCTATTGGTCTGAAGTCTGGGGAAGTTGTTCATTGTGAAGTTGCAATCCCCTGCTCCCACCTTTCCCCACCCCTCCAGCCTGTCAATTTCCACTCTTCCTATCAAAGGTTGCAGAACATGAGTAGACAACAGATGATTACATTCACTCATTTCGGCATCATGCTTCCTTACCCTTGGTTTTATGTGTTATCTTGTCCCTAGGCAGAAAATTGCTAAAAATTTCATAGCTGTGTAGGGATGTTTCCATGTTGTCTGCAACATGGATACTTGTCCTATTGATGGTTGCTGAAGGCATCCCAAACTTTAGACAGCTCCTCTGTCCCAGGAACCGAGGTAGAGCTGGAGAATGAGTAGCCCCATTCATTGGATCATTCACAGTAGTCAGAAATGCTCCAAATCTTAAATCACACACAGGGCAGTGTGTTTATTTCAGATTAGACAGGGCCCTTTCAGGTCAGGCTGAGAGCCTCAGGGTTAGGCCAAGCCACCTAAATAGGGCTCAGAAATAGACATCATACCTGTCAATCAGCAGGAGCTGCAAACAAATCAAGAAACACACATGGAGACCAAGGAGGAGGAAAAATCCATGGAATCAGACTACCTGTCTCAACTCATTGAACTCAAGCAGCCTGAAGAGAAAAACAAACCACTGAAAACTAATCCAGTTGAAAGAAAATCCAAGATAATTCAGCCTGGGTAGTAACACAGCCACTGGTTTAATCAACCCAGCTGATACTGTTCAGACAATTGCTGGGGGTATTAGGGATGAGGACATAAGGTATTTTGGTACTTCATGGCTACAGTAAGGAGTTAGTGGGCTGTTTCCAGGACAGAGCTATATGAGTCCAAAAAACAAAATCTAATTTTTAGTCCTGTTTATAAATAACAAACACAGTGCAAAGGAAATAAAACTTGAACCCACAGTAAGTCTCCAAACTTGTTTGTATTTTCATTTTCTTTACCTGTAAAATTGGAATCACTTCCCCTGGTACTTGATAATCTGAAATGGAAGTGAGAAGACTACTGCAGAATTATGAAGTTGGTGATTTGTTTTCAGTTTCAGTTCTCCTTCCACCACCTCATCTCAAACAGACCCCTTCTTATACCTCTTCTTCCCTTTCTCTATGATTATGTTGGCTTATGCAACCCACAGTTCCCCACAGCAGTCTCACACCAAGGCCAGGCAGGACCCATGCTCTCTTCCCTTCTAATCTCCTCATTCATGTCTTTGGGGACTCCTGGGTGATTGACTCAAAGCTGAAGATTCAACCACCAGTCTCTGATAATGGCCAGTCAGCGAGTTTCTCCCTCCCATAAAGCATTTGTATGGTACCCATTGCCTTCCTCTGTGCAGGCAGGCATGCTTATTTGAAAGGAAGGATCCTTTTCTCAAAGTGTGCCAGGCAAGGGAGGCCCTGGGTGAAAGCATGCTGAGCTACAAGGTTCCATAGTGCAAATGATCATTGTTATTGGCTTTATAGGAAACCATGATGAAGGGCCACTAGCTGATTACTAAACCTTCTCTGGAGCTGAGTCCTAGCCGCCATCCTATGGCTTATTTCAAGACTTAGCAGTTTGGTGATGAGGGTGATGACAACATTGACGATGATGATGATGGTGGTGATGATGATGATACGCTTGCATTTATCATCCACCATGCAAGTCTTAAGAGCTTTGACATGTATTAAGTTTTTAGTCCTTACAAAGTTCTATGAGGTAGGTACTGTCATCCCTATTTTACAGAGAAGGATACTGAAGCACAGAGAGGTTACATGATTGCTCAGTTTATAAATGGTGCTTCAGGGATTCTAACCAAGGCAGCATGACTTCAGAGTTTTATGCTCTTAACCACTGTACTCTTGAATGCAGTTCTCTAGGACAACATGGATTTTAACTGGATCCAAACTTGCACTAGCAGAGCCTGACTGGCAGATTTCACAGAAGTCCTTTTAGCTTACTTACCTTTTGGATTTACTTGGAAAACTCCAACTTACTGGTCACCTAATAGAGCAAGCACACTTCTGTAGGGAAGATGAGGAACACAGATTTGCCTTTATCTCCAGGTATCCAGCTGTAACTGCCCCCTGCAAGAAGCAGTTGAGGGCTAGTAGTTCTGCCCCTTAAGAGGCAGCCACTAGGATAGGAGGAGGTAGCTGGTTGTAAAACACCCAGTTCTCATACCCAATAGGGCCACAGAACTAACTTTCTCATATTAGCAAAGCAAAATGGAAGGAATGAGCTCTTCCGCCTCCTTCCTTTCCCTTTTCCTGTACTTGCCTTAAGGCTGCCCGAGCTAATTCATGTGAAATCACCTAGAGAAATGTTTTGTGGGGGAGCACTATGTGCACCTTTTCATGCAGTGCTCCCCATGGATACACACAGACAGTCCCAGAAAGAAATCTCTCCTTTTCCTTCCCCCAGGAATTACTTGGAGCCTGATAGTTCTCTAGGACCAGCCAGGAGCCTGCAAAGTAGCTGCACTTCTTTTATAATCTATGGGTGTGGGACCTAGACTTCAGCATTTTTTTTAGTTGAACTGGCAGCCTTGTTGTTAAGAGTGCATGCTGTATCCACTGAGCCATCTGAGTGGCAGCTCAGCTCAAGGTGGCAAGTTCCATCTTAGTTACGGGTGGGCATAGCCCAGCATCGAACAGGCAGTCTTGTTGTTAGGAGCACATGCTCTCACCAGCTGAGCCATCCTGCCACCTGTTGGCAGCTCAGCGACAGCTCAGCTCGGGCACAGCATCACTGGCCCATGTGGGAATTGAACCAGCAGCCTTGTTGCTCAGAGCTTGCACTCTTAAGATAACTCAACCAACTGAGCAACTCGGCCAGCCCTAGACTTCAGTATTTTTTAAATAAAGTTTTTGAAGTGATTCTAATGTGCAGCCAGGCCTGTGACCACTGAAAATCTCTCTCTGTCTTTCCCACTTTACAAGAAGAACACATGGCTGCGATCATATCCTTTAAACTCTGTGAAACACACACACACACACACACACACACACACACACGGGGGGGGGGGGAGAGAGAGAGAGAGAGAGAGAGAGAGATTATTTACTTGCTATTTACTTGCTAATTGTTTCCCCCGATACCCAGGTAGAGACCACTGGAGATGCTTACATGGTGGCCTCAGTCCTCCCAAAGAGCAATGGCAGTAGGCATGCAGCTGAGATTGCAAACCTGTCCCTAGATATACTGAGCTCCGGGGTACCTTCAAGATGTGGCACATGCCACAGGTGCCAGTCCAGATGCAAGTAGGCCTGCACCCAGGTAACAATGACCAGCTAAAGCAAGAGATGATATTCCTGTGCATCTCAAGGGAAGACTAGAAAAGGGGGAAGAGGGTAACTCTTCCCTGATTACCGGCAGCTGGGTCATTCAGGTGTCTAGTGCTGCATAATTCTTTTAAGCCTACTCCAGTTTACTCTCTTCCCAATGGGCAGCAGTCCTTGTTCAAGGCACCAAACCCTTTCAGTCTACCTTTCTTGTTAAAGCCAATATTTCCATATTTGACCGTGATACAAGATCACCATGCATATGTTGTATTTAGGACTATTGATTTAATTAGTTCAAATATCCACTCCTGAGGTATTTGTCTCCCACATTTCTCCCCACTTGCTTGAATATCTTTAAGAAAGGGATTTCACTGTATCATTCCCATCTACCTTCACACATTCACAGGTATGTTGACAGATACCTCACTTGATGTCACAGATAGCTCACCAATTAGCCCTTTTTCCTCCCCTCTCCACTCACGTCCTCTTTATCATCACGTTGCTCTTCTAGGCTCCTTTTCTTTCCCCAGCATTTTCATCCCTTTTCTACCAAATATCTTAAAAGAGTGATTGACACTCACTATGTCATTTATTCAGTATCCACTCCCTCTTTAGCCCCTTGGCAATCTGGCTTCAGCCCTCACTACTTTTCTCAGTCCTAGTCTGTCCTTAACTCTGCAGAATTTGGCATTCCTGATAACCCTCCCTAAAATATCCCTCAGTTGGCTTTTCTGACATGATCCTCACTCACTGAATGCTTTTCTATTTTATTTACTGGCTCTCTTAGCAATCCCTGCTCTCTAACTGTGGCTGCTCCCACATTTTCTGCAAAGCTCTGAGTTGTGGTCTCCTTGCTTTCTGCATATCCTGACCTCTAATTCACTTTTCAACCTACTCCAGCCTGGCTTTCATTTTCTACCATTGTCTGATATTTCTTCTGTCTCTACTTATTCCTTAGTTATTGATATTGTCCATGGTTCTGTCCTTCATCCACTGTTTTTTCCCTCCTTACATACTCTTCTGGGTGATCTCATCCATGTCTATGGTTTAACTACTACTTGTATGCTGACGACTTCCAACTGCACAACTTCAGCATTTCTTCCTTAGGTTTCAGCCTTGTATATCAGACTTGCTATTGACATTTCCACCTAAATGTTCCACACAGATGTCAGACGTAACACATCCAAAACAGAATTATTTTCTTCCAACATGAACTTTCTCTTCTTTCTGTATTTATTCTCTTATTTCAATTGGTGGTATCACTGTTCACCTCGTTATTCCAGATAGTGATGGGAATCATTCTCCTTGACTCCTCTCTCACTCTGACCTTCACCATTCAACCAATTACTACTAAGTCTTGAACATTTTATCTCTTAAATATTTATTAAATTCGTCTTGTCTCTTATTGACTCTCACTGCTCAAGGCTAGGCCACCAGCATCTATTGCCTGGATAATTACAATAGCATCTTTTTCTTCCACCCTTACTTCTGTCTATCCATCATTCTCATAGTCATCAGCATAAACTATGTTTGTTTATCTATCCTTCCATTAGACTAAAATAAAATCTTTGATGGATGGCTAGAACCACAACTTCCTCATATATGTATCCTGAATGCTTAGCACATAGTAGGTGTTTGGTAATTTTTTTTTAAAGAAAAGCTTTCATTTCTCATTTGTACTTCGTTTCACATCTTCAACTCCATTCAGCATGTCTATTCTTGGAAGATTCACCATTACTCCCTATTCAACATATCTAAAACTTCAAGTCATCTTTTCCCGTAAACCAGCATAACTTCATAAATACATGCCAATTTCCTCATGGTTGTCAATCAGACAGCCAACGAGTCTGTTGGCTCTCCTTTCATAATGTCTGTCTTTTTTCACACCTCACCCCCACCATCATCACTTCCTTTCCAGTACTCACAATCTTATAATTGTATTACTGCAACAGCTATCTAACAGGTTTCCCTGGTTATACTTTCTACCCTTTCAATGCATATGAGGAAAAAAAGTACAATCATTTTCATCACATAATTTCCTGCTCAATATTATCTAGTTGTGCAAGATCCTCCAACTTGTACAACTCAATATCCAACCTTGTCTGAAGCTTCTTGCCAGCCACCTGAACTACACAGACTGCTTTCTCTATGCATTCCCCCAAATTCGAAGCCCAGTCCCAACCACAAACCTTTTGGTTCATGTTCCCTTTCTCCTATTCAAATCCTACCCACCTTTCCAGATCCAAATCAAATTCTACCTTCTCCATTCGTCCCTTCTTGACTGAATCAGGCCCTAATAGGCACCTCTCCCCCATTTTTAAAAGTATTAATGTTACAGCTCTTCTGCCGGTAGTATTTATCTTGCCTCAGTCATACATTGTCTTGGGTTGTTGGTTAATTGCTTCCTGTTTGGTAAACTCTTTTCTTCAATTAGACTATTAACTCCTGGAAAACTGAGACCATATCTTACATTTATTTTTTATTCCCCTTGGTGCTTAGCTCAGTGCTCAATGAATGCTTCTGAATGGGTAAGAAATAAATTAAAATGAGAAATATAAGTTTTGTAGTTCTTATTTTTATTCTTAAAAATTAAAGTTCAGAAAGAACTTTTTGAAGTAAAAACACTAATTGATTTCTCTAACTCATGAAGCATCAAAAAGATAATGCTGAACAATTTTAACATAGAAACAGAGTGGAGACCAGAAAGGTGAACATGGAAAACATCCTAGATACTCCTGAACTAGGTTTTCAGTATGGCTGCTGAAGTTCTTTTAAGTAATATTTACTCTAGGAGCACCTAAGATGGCCATATTAAAATGTAAGAACAAAAACCATTCTAAGTCTAAATAGGAACTATTCTTGGATTATCTATATATGAGGCCTGACAATTAAATTTGCAAAGTCGTCCTAGAAAAAGTGCTACACGCCTCATTGCTGAATAGCATCACTATGGTCACCTTCGAAGTACACTGTTTGGGAAGCTATGCACTGATGCCAGCACCTAGTCCATCCTTCAAAGCAATTTTGGAACTCTTTCTCTGTAATGACCATCAGAGCTGTCATCATATTACCCTTGATGTCCTGAATGTCATCAAAATGCCTTCCTTTCAATATTTACTTTATCTTCAGGTAAATAAAGATGTCATTGGGGGCCAGATCAGGTGAGTGGGGAGGGTGTTCCAATACAGTTACTTGTTTCCTGGCTAAAAACTCCCTCACAAACAGTGAGGTGGTGCTATGTGAGCTGGTGCATTGTCATGATGCCAGAGCCATGAATTGTTGACGAAAAGTTCAGGTCGTTTTCATCTAACTTTTTCATGCAGGCTTTCCAGCACTTCCAAACCGTAAACTTGGTTAACTGTTTGTCCAGGTGGTACAAATTCATAATGCATAATCTCTCTGATATCAAAAAAGTTTAGCAACATCGTTTTGACTCTTGATTTGGCCTGATGGAACTTTTTTGGTGATGGAGAATTGGCTGACTTCCACTGTGCAATATGATGCTTTGTTTCAGAGTCGTATTGGTACACCCATGTTTCACCAGTGATAACATGGCGCAAAACATTGTCTTGGCTCTTGGAAAGGTCTTGGCAAACTTTGACTCTCTTTGCTTTTGCTCATTGGTGAGCTCCTTCAGGACCATTTTTGCACACGCCTTTCTCATGTCAAGATTTTCAGTTAAGATTTTCCTAATTGTTTCTCTATTGATGTTTACTTGGTCTGTTATGCTTCTCACAGCTGACAATTTTGATGCACAATTCGACAAAGTTTGCAATTTTTTTGTCAGTTCTGCTCATTACTGGTCACCTGGCCTCTCTTCATCAGTGATGCATTCTCTCCCCTCAGAAAAATGTTTAATCCATTTTTACACTGCCGTTTTCTTCATGGCATTATCCCTATATACTTGGACTAACATGTTCCTGGTTTCACTTCCACCCTTCCCGTGTTTAACAAGAAATGTAATGTTTGTTCATTGCTCTAATTCAAGCTCAGACATTCTTGCAATGGCACACAAAATCACGCAATAACAATAATGAATGCCACTCAGCAAGACACCACCACACATTGACATGAACACAGCTGTGGCACACTGATATACCAAGGATATGAAACCTTACCGAGCTGTTTGTACAGTGCTGTCAATGTATTGCACAGTGGCAAGTTCGTGAACTTAAATTTCCGACTTTATATACTGCTCTTCCACTCCCCTAACACAAATGATTGAAAGTCAACTCTACTTCTTTTCAGATTTTCCAACTTTCTTAGCGATGATTCTCTTGATAGACTCAGCTTGGGAGACAGATAGCCCTATGAGACTCCTCCTTCCAACCCAAACGCATAAGAAAGCATCACATTTTTTTCCTTGTAAACAACATGTTTGGATCCTGAGTCCTTGCCCAGGCTTTTCTTGTTTGGGTTTGATGCGTATTTGTCCCTGTTGACAGATATAAGCATCTTGGGTATAACTATTGCTTAGAACAAAGGTATAAATCAGAAGGGTAATCATGTCTGCATTGTTATAAACTTGCTTTCTTGTAAGGCAAAGAGTCTATTACTCATTACAAGACTTCCTTCAGAGTTCCAGAGCTGTTTGGTGGCAACTTTATTCTTTTAGGCAGCTACATCCCTTCCCTTGGCAGTGCTCCTCTATTAGTGTTAGTTGCATACCTGCTGACTGTAACCCCAACTGCCTGTTACTCTATAGGACCTGTTGTTGCTGTAGTGGTAGGCCTCACTATGCCTGGATACTGCTTGTTCGGAGAAACTGTGAACACAGCTTCTCGGATGGAATCAACAGAGTTACGTGAGTATCTATACTGGGGTGAATGAGATGGTAACCTCTTACAGTTGGGAAAGTGATTCTTCATGAAGAGAAGGGAAAGAGAGCAGGGTATTTTACTTTTAAATGTTTTAAAGAAAAATAAATTATAATTTGAGAAGATTAAGGAGATTTAACACGTAGTTTTCCTGGTCTCTAATAGCAAACCAGTAGAGGGTGATGTTGGATTGAACATGCACCTTTTTTTGTTCTAGAAATAAAGCTGTAGCTAAGTGATAATGAAACAGCCAGTATTTGATCAAAACAACTTTAAAAATCCTTTAGGTAAAGGAAAAAGTTGGCCACCCTGGTGGGTTTGGGGGAGTCATGTTGAAGAATGAAATAGGTAAGGAACTGATATTTTTAGTTTTTCCACTAGTTTGTGGAGACATGCCCAGAGCCATCTGCCTCCTAGGTGGATGACATTTGCTGCTCCAGTCTTTGTTTTGTGCTAGTTAGGACCCCAGGAGTACTGGCTTTGTCAAATAGCCTTCTCAAATTTAGCTAGGAATAATCTCTCAACCTAAGGAGATTGGGATTCAATAACTAATTCCAACTTATATGTGATACTCTTAGCTTTGACCAAAACATCCATGGTATCAATGATACCACTTCTTTCCCCCTTCTTTGAGAAGAAAACTGTACAAATCATTATGACATTCGTCTGTTGCCCGCAACTCTTTCTTGGTTATGTACCATCACTACTGAGGCAATGTCAGAATCACAATATGCCTTTCTTTACCAATGTCATGGTTGAGAAAAGTGATTTGTTCATGCTAGTACAGGAAAAGCATAGAGAACAACAATAGATTATATATATAGTTTTCATGCATTTTATATTAAAAAAAAAAGCCCAAACGCTTAAGTCCTTAGTAGCCCTGGCTCTGGCAGTTACTAGCCAAGACAAGCTGTTGCCAAATTTTGTCAACATACAAAAACTAGTCCCTGATGATATGGTGGCCTATATCACAGTGGATGCTGCCCTGGCTGACCCCACTCTTCATCACTCATGTGCAGAAACAGGCTTGTACAATGGGTCCAGTCTTAGACAATCTAGCCTGTGCAGCCTTGATTAAGGAGGCAGCATAGAACTTAGAAGCTGTTGTCAGAATACATTTTCTGACATCTGGGCAAGTCTCCGAACTCTGCAGACATGGCTGAGGCCATGGATGTAGTCATCCAGGGAGTGCTACAAGCATGACTTTACTCTTGAAGTGCAACTCAAGATGAAGTGAAATTGTTCATGGAACCGCAATGCAGATTTGTCACAGAACCCTGGAATGATGTAAGGTTGTAGAAGACTAAAGTCATATTCTGGTCTGCACCAGGGAAACTCCACACATTTCACATTGAAAATATAGAGCTGAGAGCAGAAAATGAATTTTCAGATTTGGGCAGCACCTTGTCCAGTGATCAGCTAGGAAGAAGAAAATGGAGTGAATCATAAACCGCAGTTGTTCATTAAGTACTGACAATGCAAGGAAGGCATGAGGAGGGACACATATGTGGTTTTTGCACTAAAGGATCTGGTTAGTGTGCTTTTCTGGAAGGTAAAATATGTCTGAAATATGCCATTAAACTCCACACCTGATTGAATGTCTATAAAGAGGTAGCCTCTAACCTCATGTTGGATTTGAGACTGGGGCATGTTGCAGGCTTATCAAAAATCAATTTCATCAATACCGCCTCTGTGCCCAGTTGAATCCACTGATTCTTGAATGGAAGTGACTAGTGACTGAGCCCTGGAGTGATCCTCCTTGCCACACAACTGGATGGTGGTTGAAATGAGCTCTGTCTTTTGAGCTCTGTGTTTCCCACCAGTAGGATTACCCTACCAAAAGACTACTGACAACCAGCTGCTAGTGAAATGGCACACATAGGGCTGGCTAGGGACACATTAGGTGACTTTTAGGAATGGGACAACTCAATTTTGAGCAGATGTTCTGGGTGAGCATGAGTTAGTGTGGAAGACATCAACAACAGTACAGAGCTGTCAAAAGAAGGGAAGTCATTGTGAGTAAACATAGCAGGAATTTCTTCCAGTTCTTTTCAACCATGCCTTCCTACTTAGATTGTAGTCAGTTTCTAGAAGAATGACTTTCTTGTGAGAATAAGAAAGCACGTGTGATAATAAGTCTTGGACTTTTATTTAAGGGTCAACCTGAACAAGATCTTACTTCACAGGATGACAGTTTTCAGGAAGGTCAAGGTTCCTGCTTCAGTTAAGAAATGACTGTTCTTAGCTTTGGCTACTGAGGCACAGGAAGGCCTTCCAGCAGCTCTGAAAACCCCATCCCCTACCCTACAACAGTCCCAGTGGAAAGAGTACCCAAAGACGCACATCCAGTCCACGGTGCAGGAATCTGAGTGCCTCTGGACAGACAGGAGCAGAAATAACACAGACTGTAAAAAAAACTACCAATCATACCTCATAACTCCACTCATCTTAAATAGACCTATATTAAGGCGGCTAGCTCTGCCCCCACAAGACACACAGAAGTGTGTGTATTGTAGAGGAAAACCTGGGGAGAGCTTGGTGGACTTCAGCCAAGATTGAAACTGATTATCTTTTGTTTTATCTCCCTTTTTGTTTTTTTTCTTTTTTTTAATTGTTTTTAGTTGGGGCTTCTCTTTTGATAAGTTATATTGTTATTGTTAATTGGGTTCTCTTGGATGTTCTGGGGTTTTGTTTTTTGTTTTCCATTGATTGTTTGCATTGGTTGTTTTTGGATTTTTCTATTTCATTAGGAATTTTAGTTTTTTTATATAGGCATATATAAAGGTGCATATATGTGGATATATATGTACATATATATGGGG